TGCTGCTAGCAGGAGAAGGGGTCCATGGCCCACCTTATACACATGTATTGCTACTAGTGGAATTCCACCCTGTCCAGCCAGAGAGCGGAGCAGGATGAGGCCACTGGTGCTGGCTCTGTGTGAGTGCCTCCTTGTGATGTGTGTGGCCACCCATGTACACATGTATATAAATATATATGTGTGTGTATATATATATATATATATGTGTATCTGCTCTATACTGTGCATGTGCTGAGGGCATGGAGCAGCAGCAGCTTCCCCTCTCAGGCTGTTGGATCCAACACAATGTATTTTCCTCTAACAACTCAGGACTGTTCCAAATGCTTAAAACCATATAGTGTGCAGTAGATATAACAATAGTGATCTAAGAACTGGCATTCTAAAATAATAATTATTGCTGCTTCCTTTCCTTTGTGCTGTTGTCATTGAGGCCGTGTGAGGGCTTTTTGGGGCAATTGGGAGAAGCAGAAGAGGACTCTGTATGTGACAATGACAGTCACACAACTGCTGGAGATGGAGGCTTGGTACAAGTTGATTATCATTAATTCCCAATCAGCTAATGGGAGACAGTGTTGCTGTTGCTAACCCTTTCATTGGTAGCAGAGCTGGTAAGAGCCAGGCCTGGTGGTTCCTCTGAGTGACTAGAAGGGCTCAGCACACATAACTACAGCTGGAGCCTCCCGCCTGTTTGGGCACAGGGATGGTCTGGTAGCATCCCGAAGCACCCAGTCTTTGGATGCTGTGCACCTCTCAAACTCACTAAGGCACCCACAAAGTGCTTGGAAATTCATCCCTTGAACAGATAGGATCCAATGGGAGTGTTCCAGGAGCACAAATGAGCACTGAAGTAGCAGAGCGTGTTATTCCAGCACAGCCGAAACTGTCAGGAGTGCCCCTGCTAAGGCTGGAGAGGCAGGTTTAATGCTTCTTTTGATACACAGCAGAAGCATTAATAGGAAGCAAGGAGCATTTATCAGACACCTGAAGCACTGGCCTCTGTGTGGCTGATGGGAGCCAGCTGCAAGTGTTTATATGTGTGCCCTTGCCGGGGGAGCAGAGAGGAGATTCTTCTGCTGTGAGGAAGTGCTGTGTAAGCTGCAAGTGCATTTGGCTGGGGCTGCTGGGCTCTGGCCTGTGTCACTCGGGCTGGGCAGTGTGATGGGGCATTGCAGTGAGTCAGTGCTGGGCTGTGAGTAAATGGCCAAAGGAAGCTCAGTGTAGGCCAGTTACGGAGCCCCATGGGGCAGAGAGCAGCTCTCCTCAGGCATTACACCAGGCTGACTCCATCACTTGTGGCAGCAAAGGGAAATCCCAAAGCAAGGATGAATTTTCTCTGCAGCATCTGGACTGCTTGGGTACATTGCTGTATCCAGCACACACATGCCTTGCTCGCTCCTTTTTGTCTTCCTGCGGGAAATAGCAGCACAAGCCTTCCTCCCGTGCCATGTGTCACCAGGGAGCTCACAATTTCCTTGTGCAGCTGGGAACATCTCTTAGCAGTGCCAGCCAACTCACCCCCGCAGCGTGGCCCCTGGGTACCCGTGCTGTGGGAGATGGGAGCTGCAGGGCCCTGGGGAACAGCCTCTCACAGATGTCATGATACCAGCCTGATCTGCACTGCCAGCTGTCATGTCCCCAGGCACCTCCCCTGTAAGAGGACGTGGGGGGACAAGTGCCACAGGAGCAGCAGCACCCACGAGCACTGGGGATGGTCGCCACGTTTGTCTTCTTGCTGCTCAGCCAAGCATCGAGTTCCACAGCTGCTCCCTGGATGCGGTTTAAAATCCTGCGTGCACGTTATTGCCGTTCTCCAAAAGGTATTTTGACAGGGCTCTGTGATAGACTAATTAGAAACAGTCACTTAAAATCCACATCTGAAATGCGTTGTGGAATTGAGGTTCAAGGAGTGCAGGTTTGCTACAGACACTGGATTCCTAAAGAACAATTTCCCACACCTAAATAATGATGTTTTCCATCATGTTACATCCATTAGCTATAACTTGGCAGTTGCATCCATCATAATATGGTATTTCAGGGAAATAAATGAGTGTATTTTTCTCTGTGAGAACCAAGGCAAAAATATCTCGCTGCTGAAATATCGAGCAGGTTTATACAGTTAAACCAAGTCCAGATTCTTGCTCTTATATGTTGATTCAGCCATTAACATGGAGCATAGACCAGTCTGCTTTCTCCTAACCCTGTAACTTCAGAACTAGCATTTTCATAGCTACTACTTATTAAGCTTGCTTTTAAACTATGCAATGAGCTTTCCAGCAATGTTATTAAACAATATCATGACTCTGCTAGAACCGGCCTGCCTGTATTTGTATCTGTTCCCAAATAGCCCAGGCACTTTTTAGCCTCCTTGCCCTGGGAGGGTGTTGGCTTCCCCTTTGCTTTTAAAAAGCGCTTCAATTGCATTTCCCAAGTTGTTTCCCACCATGTGCCAGCAAGTCCCTGATTTTTTATTTCCCGAACAGGGACTCGGGTACTGCATTCCAGAAAGAAGAGTGACACAGCTCCATACACATATGCTTTCCCTGGTTCCCCCGTGCCGTTGATGGGAAGAGCATTGACATTCCCGTCGTACTCCGTCAGCGTCACTTCTGCTTTGCGTCGGAGCGGGACGTGCTGCTCCGGTGGGATGAGCCAAGGAGGAGGAGCGGAGGAGCATTTTGCTGTGCCCCAAGCAGCACCCCTCACATGTGCTGCCCGGGTGTCCCTGGGTGCCTGTCCTCTCTCATTTTTCTGTCTGTAAACCAGGAATAAGTGCAGATCATCGTCCATCGTGTGAAGGATTAACAGGCAGCCTGCAGTGCTGGCAGCACACAGAGCGCCAGGTAACACCTGCCCCTTGCCAGTCTGAGGGCCTTACCCAGCACCTCCCAGGTTGGTGGGATTTGAAGTGGATTTACCACCCCCTGGAAGAAGGAGAGGGCCCATCTGGGCTTGATTTAAAACTGGCCCAGGCTGCAGTTTAACTGCATCCATGAGGCTGCTGATGTGAAACTGATCCTCGCCTGGGAGGAGGAACCAGCGGCTCCCAGATGCTCCCCATGTCCCTGTGGGCTCTGCCCGGCCCCTCCGAGCCCCCCAGCCCTTGGAAAGATGGTGCATCATCTGCTGGGGTGCAACAGAGTAGTGGTGTAGGTGGACAATACTGGATAGGAATGATCAGTCAAATAAATATACCACTTCTTCCATGCTCTGGCCACAGCATTTGCCAGCTGGGAATCCTTTTTCTAAATAACAGTGGGGAAAAAACTCACTGAGGATTGTAGTGGGCTGTCACTTTGCCTTGCTCTGTGGTGTAAACGGGGGTGTACTGTGATGGAAAATCCTCTGCTGATTGATAAACATTACACAAACAGCAGAGAGTTTGGAAAATGTGCCAGTTAAAGATTTTCGGTGATATAATCACAGGATATTTAAAAAGCTTGATTCTCAGTGAGCCTAATCAAAGGGAAGTTCCTGAACCTCAGCTACAAAGTGAGACCACATGCTGGAACAACACGAGCGCTAATCTCAGGCTTTAATAGACTACAAGAGCAAAAAATGCTCCTGGGACGACAGCAACAGACACTTCACGGGGCGAGTGAGCAGCAGAGAGAAGCAGGCTCTGGAATCAGCACCTTCCTCTTGCACACCAGCTGCTGATGCAGGAGATGGGAAACACCAACGGGATCTTCTGCTTCCAGCAGTGCTACTCCCATTGATTTCTAAAGCAATAAAATTGGCCTTTAGTCAACCACTGTGAAGTTGCACAAAGCATATTTGATGGATTACACCTATCAAAACTTTTAGCGAGAGGAACAGTTACAATTAGCAGGCTGCGTACAGGATCTTCTCCACAATTTTTTCCCTGACACCCTCAGTAATTACCTGCACTAAACGTGCTGCTGCTGCGCAGGGGCTTGTCAATCAGGAGGCAGCTCAGACCCAGAATATTATAAATTCACTGTCATAAACTTTGCTGCCAGATTGAGGGAGAAGCACTGACAGAAGGATATGGAGCATCCGCAGGGTTTCGCATCCCTCCCTGTGCCCTTGTGGTTGAGGATGAGGAGGGGAATTACCCCGGAGCTGTGCCACACACACACCGGCTGAAAATGCCAGTACTTCCAGCTCTCCAAGAGAGCCATCCCACAATTACCTTATGTGTGCCTGGCAGTTCCCTCCACTGGAGAGATACAAGGTTATTAAGCAAATATGATTAATGAATAAAAGAACCTCTGGCATGCTGGAATGAGGCTCCGAGGCCTGTCGGGCTCCAGGAGGATTCGTCGGCTTGTGCTTTGGGAACTGTGCAGATTTCTGCAGTAATATGATTAACACGCTGTGTAATGGGCTAAATCCATCCCAAGTGTCCCTCCAGTTAAGCCTCTGTGTGGGCACCTGGGATGAATTTGGCCCTTTCACAGTGGATGCACTTGACAGAGCCATATTGCTGAGCTGGAAAAAAGGAGGGTACTGAGTTACTGCTACAGCTGGGGAGGGGGATGGCAAAAAGGATGGAGAGGAGGGATGGATCTGGAAGGGATCCAGACCAGCCCCTGCCTTCGCCACCCTCCCAAAGCACAGGCAGGGCTGTGGGTTGGAGCAGATGTGCCTGCTCTGCCATGCCTGCCATCCCCATGGACAGCTGCCACACTGTGGCACCTTCCAGCCAAAGCCATGGGACTTGGCCATGGGCTTGTCTGCCACGTGGCGCTGCCTTTCCCAGCTCCAGAAAATGTGGAGCTGCCAGACCTCGCCAGCTGGAGGAAAGGGAAGGATGGGGAGCGCTGCCTTCCTTATCTGCGGGGCCAGATTGTGAGCAGCTGTGGGCAGATAAAGAGCGATGGAGATCGGCTGGAGGAAGGCGTTTGCTTCCCCTGCAAAGCAAGCTCTCTCTCCCTTTTCCCAGTATACTCTGGCAGCAGCCAGGCTGCCTTCTGGGCAGGGAATCTTCTCTGCTGCAGGGGTAAGAGCAAGGGGATGGATGGTGTAAGAGCAGGAACTTGAGTGACTGATTTCAGTTTATTTGCAGGCTACTGCTTTATCTCGCCCTGTCGGGGCTGCTGCTGCATCCTGTCACCTGGGATGGATGTCCCCCAGCACAGTGTCCAGGCTTGGCCACAGGGTTTGCTCTGGTATTGGAATGTTCTTTCATAGGTAGGCTCTGTCTCGCTGTCATGTCCTATACAGCATTAATTGCAATATGATATTTCTTACCCCTTCCAATGTACCTTCCATTTTGGGCGAGTTCCATGTTTTTGTGCTGTTTTAATAATTTCCAGCAAGTGCCTTTGTTTTGCAGCCTCAGATAGTTTCATGCACATGTTCACTGTGGTCTCTTGCAGTTCACTTCAGTCTTGTAATTCCTGAGCGATCGCAAGGAATCAAGTCATTTAGAGGAACTGCCTAGAAAGGGATTAATCGCAACCAGACCTCGTTAAAATCCCGTTGCCACACCAATTCCCCACACTTACAGAACCTGACCACAGTGTGAAAATTGATATTTATGCTGAGGAGTGTCAATGCACTGCCTGTGCACCGTTCCCTGAGTTACTGTCCTCTGGGCTTTGAACTCTGGGGATGCAAGTGAGATGTGCTGCTCAATTTCCAAGCCCCCAAAAATGAAATAACTGCCCACCTGGGCCCTTTGGCACCAAATGTGATCAGCACATTAATACCAATGGATTCTGTTGGATGATCAGCCTGCAGCTTTAAGTTGTTGCCTGATTTCTTGCAGCCCAGTTCCTGCACACTTATTGAACTGGATGAAAACAGTAGAAGAACAGCCAGATTTTGTGATAGAAATTGAAAATCTGCTGCTGGGAGTAACTTAATTTTAAGTTCACTCCTTTTGGCCTGTGGTCTCCCTCCATCCTGCTGGCTAATGGGGGACAGCCTTGGTGCACTGGTGACAGATTTCCAAGGAGTCCACAACCATTGGGGAGAGGCAATGTGACCCTCCTGGGGAGCTCCTGGGGACCAGTCTTTTCCCTGGGCATCACATCCCACAGCTGGTTGAAGAGAGCTCCTTCCCAAAGGCCTGGGATGGGTTTCAGAGTTTGTTGAAAATGATAAAAATCTCTCTTAGCTACCAGGATTGTGACGCAACAAAATAGAAATTTTTGTGATATTCTCTACAGTGGAAAAACTCTGCAAAAGAAGTGTCTGCTGGCTTTGGAAGTAGCTTGCTCCAATACTCTTACCAGATGGCCGGCGGCTCCCAGCGAGTGGCTGGTCTGTACTTGCAACCCTTTAGCTCCCGTGGAGACCTGAGTGTTTTGTTAGGAAAGAGCAAGTTCTGCCCGAGACAGTGGCCGTGGCCTCTGGGGCTTGCAGGGTGCAGGAAGGGAGAGTGGGAGCCCAACACTCCACACCTGGCAGGGCACAGGCTGCCCAGCCTCATGCAGTACCCGAGGCATTGGCATGGCATTTATACTCTGCAGCTCTTCCATGGGATGCTGCTGTGGCCTGGGTGGAGCATCTTGCTGAAAAGGATGCCAAGGGACACACACTGGAGCAGAGGCAATGGGAGCTGAGAATTCTGATGATTGTGATGTGACCAGTAATGGATCTGTTAACGTAGTCTGTGCAACTAGGGAAGACAGGTTTATTTCTGTACCTCTCAGGAGACAGGCTGAAGCTATTATAAAGTTATTAAGCTATTATTATACACAGGTATTAAGGCTGAATGAAGAAGTCAAGCGATTTGAGGGTGTATGAAAGAGAAACCTCAGGGGTGTGCAGAAGACAGAGGAAGAGATGGTGAGGCATTTATAGTGGGAAGGGGCTGGTTTAGCTGTGGGATCAACCAAAGCTAGAGAAGATAAACCGTTAGTCACCTCTGAGCTCTTGACAAGGTGTGTAAACCATTTCCTTCTGCCATCTGGCTGATTTGTGAGGATTCCTACAGGGAGGTGAGCCCAAGAGCTGGCCCTGTGCTGAGGACACACTACTCACCAGATCACTAAATGCTGTTGTGCTCTGCAGTGTGAGCAGAGACCAGCCAAGCTCCAAAACTCAGAGAAAAGCCCACCTGGGGCTGCACTTGTTATTGGCCTCTGCAAAAATTCTGTCCTAGTCTGCAAAGCTTGTGTTTTTTGGTGTGAGGAAGTATGCAAAGTCTTTAAGGTCTGAATTCAAATAGCCAGCTGGAGGACGTAAGCTTGGTGAGAAAGGAGGATGCTAGGTGGAGCTGGCATGTGGAGAGGATGCCTCAAAACCCAGTGTGGGTGGTGTCTTGGATCCACTCAGAGCTCAGAAACTCTAAACACAGTGGGATATAGCAGCTGGATCTTTTTCCAGCAATCTGAGCATCCACCACAGGGAGCAGAGCCAGGGCTGTGACACACGAGTGCAAAATGTTAGTCAGAAAGGACAAATGGAATGTGAAAAACCACCAGAAACTCCCAAAGTGGGTCAAATTCCTTGATGCATCTAACAATAGCTGTAGGACGGGAAGGACAGGGTCGACTGGGTTGCGTGCCCTCCTGTGCCTCCTAAAACTTGGGCTCAGCTGTGGGCCTGACTCCGTCGCGGTGCAATTCAAAGCAGGTGGCTGGAATCGTGGAAGCCACAGGCTCCAGCTCTGCCTCCTCCACCCGGGGCCTGCCTGGCATAATATTATCTTCACGCCTGAGCGAGGAGGACTTGGCTTATTAAACTTGCAAACCTGCCTCACGCTCGCCCTCGGGTATTCAGGGCTGACGGGTCTCTGGGGCAGGATGCTCTAATGCTACTTTTACGCCACGTCTACCGCAACGAGGCCTCCTTAATTGGCTTGTGGTTCCCACCAGCACTGCCAGCAAAGAGCAAGCGATGGAGAAAAATCTGCCAGCACCACAGCTCCCGCTCGGTGTTGGTGCATCATTAGCTCACATGTTGTCTCTCTCCCCAAAGACAAACACGCTGCGTAGCCAAAGAGGTCTGCGGGGAGGATGCGCTGCAAAATCCAAGCACGAGAAGTGGAGGGGGGGCAGAGGCAGTTCTCATCCATGACACATTCCCCTGCCCGGTCTGGTTTCTCCCCTCCACTGAATCCCTGCAGTGAAATTTCCTTTTTTTTTTCCCCCTCTCTGTTTTTAAAAGAACAGCCCCCCCCTTCCCTGCTTTAATCACTTTAAAACAACCCCAGAGGAGCGAGACTTGGGTAAATAAATGTGGGAACCAGGGGAGTTCTTGAACTGTTAAAAAAAATCAATATAAATCAGAGTAACCTTGCCCTGATGTCTTCCTTATCACCTCTGAAGCTCTACCTGCCTTTGTCTAACAACAATCTCAGTTAATTAGATAATTAATCTAATTATCTAATTAGGTGGAATCACTAATAGCTATTCCACCTAATTAGGCCAGTGGCTGTATCTCAGCAGTGGTGGTTCACTCTTTCTGGCTAACCCTGCACCTTCTGCCTGAAACCAGGCTCTGACACAATTCAAGCTCTTTGTTTGCTTTAACCAAAACCACCTGGAAACAGTTTTTCATTTTTTTACTCAGGCTTTCCTTGAATGAAAGCAAGGTGGCCAGTTGGAAAGTAGAAAAGGAAGCTCTCAGACGATTAATTTTTTTAGCAATGGATGCAGGAAGCTCTTCATTGTTTTAATTCATTCTCCTGATGTAAGATTAATTTTAGCTCTGAACACAACAACCTGTTATGAATTGATCCTAGGAAAGCATATTGCTCTGAGGTTGGGGAAACAACATAAGTAGCTTTTTCCCCCCTTTATTTGGACAAGTCCAGCTAACTCATGGCTGCAGTCCTTCCCTGCAGAAACACGGGTTGTTCTCTTGCTGCAGCTTTCCCAATCTGTCCTATGTGTGACAGCATGAGGGAGCTGGCCAGAATTAAAACCAGCCTAAGGTCTTTGGTTCCCCTGGCAGCAGGGTCCCACTGCTCATCTCTGCAGGGATGCTGTGGTTTGCAGCACCACCACGCTGGTTTTGGACCAGTCATGGCAGCACCTCTGTCCCCTCAGGAGCTGTAGGTGCCTTTGGGGCTGCAGAGCCACCATACGGCACTCATGAGTTTATTTTCCCCTTAATGCCTAAATTGGATTTAAGGGCATCTTTGTACATTCCAAAACAAATCAGCAGCTGTCTGCAAACCAGGCAGCCAGACTTGGCCCTGAGAAGAGATCGATGTGCTCACGCTTTGCACCCAGAGCTCTGCTTTCTCAGGATCCCACCTTGGGCACCAGCCTAAGCACAGGAAAAGCCATTCAACATCTGAGCAGTCAGGAATTCAGGCTCTTCCTGTCCTAGGAATGTTTAGTGGCTCACACCATCACTATCCACTGCTGGAGAGCCTTCCTGGAGCCCCTCACACCTACAGCCACAGCAGGCACCACTTGGTGCAGCACTCAGGGAAGGAGGCACTGGACTTGGATTCAGAGTCCCTGGGAACCCTCGTTGGAGTCCAGATGAGGTGAAATGGCCGGGTAGGTTCTGCAACAGCATTTCTGATGTAGACCCCTTCTCTCACCTGGAAATGCTTCCTTCCTGTAGTGGTCCCAGGTTAATCTGCTGCAATAGCATCCAGACCTATGATCTGGTTCTGGGGAGAGTCCTGCTCCTGCCTACATCCTCCTGCATGACTGGAATGATGGGCAACACGTGAATCTATGGCTTTTCATTTTGCTTTCTCTGTATTTGATTTGCTTAGGGTTTTTTTGTTTGTTTTATTTAATATGTATATATAACTGAAGCACCATAAAATGTCTCTGTGGGGTAGTTTGATTTTTCTTTAAAAAAAGAGTTATATATAATATATATATATATTTTTGAACTGCTTGAAGCAAAGTTGTCTTGGCATTCTCATTTTGAAACCCCCACATTGAGGTGTTTATTACAGCGTCATTTAGTTAGAAAATTCACATTTAGTTGAAACTTGGCAAATGTTTTTTGGCTTGAAGCAAGTTTTCTTTTGAAGGAGTTTACTATTAAGTGTTTAAGGTGTTTTTTTTTTCCTTTCTCTCAATTTTTCTTTTGAAAAAGCAACACCTTCCAGAACTGGGTTCAGAAGCAGAAGGCCAGCTCTGCAGCAAGTGTGAAAGCTGCGAGTCGAGCACAGAGCTGCAGCCATTCATGCTTTTTTCTGACATCTGTTAAGGGAATGAGAGGAAGGGAATTCGGCTGTGCTCTACGAGAAAAGAGGCTTTTCTGTTGTTGTTGTTGTTGTTGTTTTGGTGAGTCTTGAGTAGCTGCACTCCCACCAGATGCCAGTGATCCTAACGCCAGCTGCACAGAGCACAGCATCTCTGACTGCCTGGAGCTGGTCCCTTCACGTCCCCCAGAGCGAGCCAGATTTGCTGTACCTGGAAGAAAATTGAGTGTGCAGCAGGCTTGTTGCTGCTCTGTGACTTAGATGTGTATTGAACAACAACATTCCTGGCAGGGGCTGGGATCATGTTGTTACAGTTCCACTGGAGTAAACGCAGTCAGTGCTGATCTGGTTTGTGCTGTGGCCTCAATATCAATGACGCAGTCAGTGCTTTATACTCACAAGCTTTTCCTCTTCTTCAGGTGTGCAGAGCCATTTTTTTTAACGTGAGGACATGCAGGTAGATAACTAGGTTTATATAACCTGTGCAAGCAAGCTGCACATCCCACAGAGCCAGGAGCAGGAGTCACCTACACGGTCCTCTATTGGACAGCAAGGCTTTCTTCATCCCTGCCCTGCAGGGAGAACCCTCTACGAGGCTGAAGGAGTGTGTGCACAGAGCTCTTGTGGGGAGGCTCTTCCACATGCCATATTTCCATGTGCCAGGGTGGGTGTGCGAGGAACAGCCCAGAAAATGGCATTTGGCACCAGGGGGAAGGGGCTGTTGCTGCCCAGGGGAGCCCAGTGTTGCTGCCAACCTCCTCTGCCCCTTTTCAGCCTGCAAACTGTGGGGTGGGTGAGGATGAGGATGGGCAGAGCAGGCAGACAGACCTCAGGCAGCTCGTCAGTGGGACCAGCCTTAGTGGCCTTGTGTCTACATACAGAGGTGGACACACATCTCCAGAGAGAGACAGGACCTCCCTGCTGCCTGAGCCTGTTTCTAGACCTAAACCCAAAAGGGATGTCTTCTGAGATTATGAAATATTGTAGACAGGGCTGAGGGTTGGGTTTTTTTCCCCAGTTTCAAGAAGCAGGCAGAAGTGGGAGTACCAAAGTCTCGAGTGAGCCTGCTTTCTCTGGCTCTACCTTGCAAACTCGGGAAGTTTGAGGAGATCTGATAATCACTCTTACCCTTGCTTATTTATCAGCTTAGTCTCCACCCAAGGGTGTTCCCAGTGCCCTACCTGAGCTGGCTTTGCTCACACCACCGTGCTGGCTGGCTGCCACAGCAGTGCTCACTGTGATAGGGCAAACCAGCATTGGTACTTTTGGTCCTGTGCTTCCGGTGCTTTTTTAAATATTTTCCTCTGCTGTTGAAGTCGCCACAACAAAATTGTGTTTGTGCTGTGAAGATGCCAGCTGGTTACCACCATTTTGTATCACAGATAGAACAATTTCACTGTAATATTTAAGATACCTGTCTGGAATACCTGTGGTTGGACAAGTGTGGATTTGGCTTTATCTGTGCTGGGGCTTTTTAGCCCCTTCCACAACACATAATTCACTTAGGTGATTGAATTGCAATGTTGATTTTCTCCTCCCCCCCGTTCATGTCACCCTACTTTTTTTCTAAATATTTTATTAGGTGTTATTTTTTGACACTGTGCTCCCATGCATCATTGCTATGCAGATGTTACACAGATCTATTGACCATCTTCCACTTGCTGTGTTTCACTGGTCTGTTCAGCAGCTTTGTGTCTTTCCTCATCGCAGGCTTCAACACTCTACAAACAGCATGGACCTAGAAGATCAAGGTGCTTTTTCCTGGTTGCCAGCATCTAGCCCAAAGGGGGAGGCAGATTTGGAGACAGTGCTTGTTTCTATGGATAATAATCAATAAGACCCATTAGGGAGACAAGTACATACATCACTAAACTTTGACCTCTGCTCTCCAGAGCAGTCCCAAGATGCCTATTCATATGCTGGTGACATCCAGATTGCGCTGTTGCAAAAGCCTCTTTGCTTGGGAAGGGATTACAGATTTAAATCGTGCAGCCTTTGCTATCTGCAGAGTACAGCGTGCAGGATGCTTAGCTACAGCCTCTAGTTTTTGTTGGCTTTCTTTTCTACTCAGCCAGTTTTACATTCAACGCTGTTGCACGCTGAGTGTTTTATGCCTCTCTACCTTTCAGGCTGTTTTTTACTCCAGTCTGTCTGGCATTTTAAGGGTTTACAGACCCTGGAGATTCTTGGCACTGGCTGTTGCTTGCATATTGCTCCTCATCTTTCAGATCCTTTTTCTCCTACGTTGCTCTTCGGCGGGCTGTTTCTGATAGAAAGGTTTTGGCTCGCTGTTTGAAGTTCCTGATAGTCGGCATTTGATCACTTGCTAATTCAGTTCTAAAACTTTTTTCCAAAGAAACCATGAAACACTATCTAAAAATAGATTAAAAGGAAAAAAAAAAAGGAAAACTTTAAAAATACCCTTATTTTGCTGAATACAGGAAGTTTTAAGTTTTCTGGGAGGAAAAAAAACCACATACCAAATTTAGAAGCAAATCGGAAATCCCTGGGTGTTTGAGAAATCCATTTCTAGGCACAAGAGCTGGATGAAGAGTTTTCTTCTCTCTGTACCTCTCCCCTTCCCTTGAGAGAACATCTACTGAAATCTGTTGGCTGGGAATGAGTCAGATGAGATTATTTGGTGTGGGTGGGTGAGGAAGGAAAATCAGGACTCTGGTGACAGCAGTGGGATCTGACCTCAGTGGGATCACAGGGGCAGGAGGGACTATGTGAGCTGCTCCGCTGACTCCTTCTGTAAGTGATCAAAGTCCATCTTTACATTGAGTGCCTTTGCTCCTCCCACTGCAAAGCTGTTTCTGTTCCTTGTTCCTCTGAAGGTTAGAAACAGATGTCTAGTTTCCAGCCCACATGTCCAGCATGGATCAGTTGTGCTCTTCATTCTTGTCTGCTGGCTCTTTTGTTGCTGCAATGCGCTGCCTCCTTCCCCAGTGTATTTTAGAGTGGTCATATCTCCTCTCAGCCTCTGTTTCCTTAGGCTGAGCAAGTTGAGTTTGTAGAGATTCCTCTCATAAAATAGGCTTTTTGTCCCTCTTACCATCCTAGAAACTCTTCTCCACGCTTGAATGCATTTTTTTTTCATCTGGAGAACTGTCTGGAGAATTCCAACAAGGTCTTGCCTGTGCACTGTTCAGTGGCATTAAATGCTTCCCTGTCTCTATTCATTGGTACTTCTGATAACCCCTGCTTGACATTGGCCTTTTCAGGAGGTAAGTCACACCAGTGGCACAAAAACACCTCTGAGAGAGCTCTTGTCCCTCCTGGGTGCCACACCAATGAGCTTCTGCTTGAAGTGAGAAGGTTTGATTACAAGCACCCAGCTGTCAAAGTCGGTAACACCGTATTTCATCCCATTTCCATTTTGCTCTCTCAAAGTTATTCTCTTCTTCCACTGTGCTTCTCATTTTCAGGTTATAAGCACAATCCTTCCTTTTCCTAATGGGGTCACTAAAGAAAATATCAAGTAATGCTCATCCCAAGGTGGTTTTATGAGGGCCTCTACCAATGATCTTCTCTCCAGCTCCTCCTTGCTCAATCCCTTGCCCACTTTGCTACGCTTGTGCTCCCAGCACAGCTAAAAATATCCCATCTGACCCTGCATCCAACTCTTTACTGAAGTCTGGAAAATGGAACACTGTGTGATAACTTTTCCTTATCATTTGTTTCTCTCCCACAATTATCAGTGAAGTCTCTGAGTGTCCCTGTATTAGTCCAAGATGCTTGTTAATTCAGGACGTTTTTCTGGAGCGTGCATAAATCTCCGTGGTGCACCAGGGCCATCCATCAGCCAGCTCTGTGTTTACACAATCCCTAGCACAACGCTTTTCCCCAAAAGCTTATGAACTCAGCCTGGGCCACATATTCAAAGATGTTGTCAAGTGCTAAGTGAGACTTCCAAGAGTAGTTTCCTCTTGACTTCTCCCTGACATTGGCATCCGAAGCCGACGGCAGTTAACGCTGTGCTTTGAAAGCAAGAGAGGGTGCAGTTTGTTGGCCACCAGTGCCCCTGGGCTTTCTGGTTTGGTGTTTTATTTTGTGGTGAAGACTTCCAGGCTTCTGAGCACAGGCTCCTGCCTTCCTTGCCAAGGATGCTCGTATGTATGGCAAACATTATGCTGCTTTGTGTGAAGTCTGACAGCTTTCACACAGCCTCTTTTTCTTCCACCCCTGGGTAGCTTCTCCTCATCCTGGAAACCTGGGGAGGCTAAACACATTTAATCCTCTTCAGGAGGACATGGGCAGAATGAATGCTGGCTATTAAGGTGCTCCTGTGTAGCTGGTTCACCATTTCTACCCTCAATTGCTAATTTCCCTTTCTACCCACTTCTACTAAAAGGTGCTAATTGTGTGATGGATACTCAACTTCCCTGACCCACAGAGCAGCAGCATCACTTCTGATCCTTTTAGCTCCAGCTAAACTAATAGAGGGATCTGTGTCCTGAGCCTGATTCCAACTCCTATGTAAGAAATTCCCTACTAAATCCACAGAAAAGTAATTTCCTAGTGGTTAGACTTTGGGCTGTTCAGGGCAGCAGTCACTTCTGAGAAGTTACGCACATCTGATGCAAAATTACAAAAATGTGTGTTTACCACAGTGACCAAGGGGGCTGAGAAGCTCAAGTTAATATTTACATTTGGCATTGAACCCTATGCACAAATACTGACTTTGGCTGGGTGTAGCACCCCAGTTTATTTTAAAATCCTTTTATGTCGGTGGTCCAGGTGTGGGGAATTACCCCTGCACTCTTGGCACTCCAGGTTTTGGAGGTCTCACCGCGCTGAAGAGGCTCCTAATAGGGTGCTAAGCTCAGGAGTGCATCTCCGAGCATCCCTGGCCAGCTGCTCTGTGGATGTTACGGACTGATGGACTGTCAGTTTGGACTGTTGTCTGTTTTCAGGGCTGAAACAGGGAAGCAGAAATAGCTGTGATGCTGTTGGGGTGAGGGGGATGTTGAGCTGGTGCGGAAGGGTAATGATGCTCCATCTATCTCATCCCAGTATCTCCATAGCTGACATGAAAAGGGTGTACTGAAGTCATTTGCTCCAGAGCTCCAGAGCTCCCAGCACAGGCTGTGTCACCCAGATTTGTCCAAGAGGTTTGTGCCCTATCTCCCAGCCCCCTGAGCCTGCCTGCCCTACCTGTCATGCACTGGAAGCATCTGCAACCAGTGTCTCTTTACAAGGTTTTTGTCATTAAAAATACACATGGTGAGGGAAGGGGAGAGGTGGAAAGAAGTGGGTTAACAGGATCCTCTTGAGAGTGTTCTCAAATAAGCACACATTTGGCATAAATGAGAAAGTGGCATCTTCTGGATGCAAGGGTAGGAATTCCTTCAGGTGGATTTACCACCAGCTGAACATCACTGTGGAGTTCAAAATATTTAGCTGGAATAAGTTTGGTTTGAAAGCTTGTGCCGTAGATTCCTGTGTGAGCCTAGAAATTTAGAAATTTACTCTTTTTCAGTCCAGCTTGCTGGAGTTAAGGAGAAGTGCTAAATAACTTGCTCAAGGCTGCCTTGTGAGGACATGAGAGCCCAAACTCCATTAAAAATCCCCAAATGCTCAGTGGGATGTGCTGCCTGTGAATTTTGAGGGCAGCAGGATAACTCACTGTGTGAAAGAAATACCCCAGCCAGGCACTTGTCATTTAGTTTGACTGTCTTTTTAGCCCTGACTGCTGCCAGTGGTTTCTGCCTTGGTGTGTTGGTGTCTGGAGGGGTCAGCAGGGAAGTGCTGCAGCATCCCAAAACCTTTGACTGGATCAGCCCACCAATGGCCACAATACTCCTGCAGGAGCCCTCCATGAAGAAAGAGACACCAAACTGTGGCTCCAAGGGTGTTTATTATACTGGGAATGCTCACCTCCCAATGGATGTACGTATTGAATGAAATCACGCTCTGCTTGGGTTGCCAAGTTTTTAACATGTGACTTTGAAAGCGTCATTTGCTGAGGAAGGAAGGTTTCCAGTGGAAGTTGATAATGAAGGATATAGTAGGTTTTTGGAAAGAAAACAACTTTTGCTATGAAAACAGCAACGCTGAAACTTTTTTGAGGAGATAAATTGCTTTCTAAAAATGGGCCACAGCTCCTTGGTGTTTCCACAATATTTTACTCTGTGCCTGTGGTGGTTGTTGCTCTGCTTAACACAACAATGTGGAGGTAAGAGAAGCACCTGTGGCAGAAAACAGGAGATGGACCAGGAGCATCTCCTGAGTCAAAATTTCAGTGCTTTCTGCCTTTCTCTTCTTCTTCTCAGGTTCTTCTCCACTGATCTTGTCCCCAAACACAGTGTATTCTTGTCCCCTTAAGCACCATTGCCATGAAGTTCTGGCAGCAACTGCACACCAGGTCTCTGTGCTTACCAGACCCCACAAGCACTGCTGAGCTCCTGTTCCCACACAGATTCCCAAAGCAAACGTTACTGCTATAATCTAAAAGAGCAAAAAATGTTTGGAAAACAGCAGATGCAATGGGAAAATGACACTTCCTACATGTGATAATTGTGCAACCTTAACTCTGCCCTTGGAGTGTGTCTGCGTCTTGCTTTATTGTTCAAGGAACTTGTGTGGCTTAGAAAAAAGTCATTGGAAGTCTGTTTGGAAATTAAAGTAGTTGGTGGAGGTGCCAGCATGGGTTAAACTACCTGTGTGGGGATGAGGGGGCTGGATAGAGTAAGTGGATTACATGCAGCTATTAAATATGGGAGGTGAGTCTGTCAGCATGGTTTCACCGTTAAAATGGGCATCGGTGGATGGGAAAAACCCTCTGTGGCTCGTGCACGAGTCCAGATTACTAAAGCTGCAATGCACAAACCATCGTTGTGTTGCCTCCTACCATGGTAAGTGCCTATCCTGCGCCTTAAGCCGCTTATGTTGGTTTGCTTTTTAGTAACAATTTGCTTTATTTTTTCCTTTGTATTCAGCCATAGGTCAGCTCTGCTCAGACTGTCTCCACACACACCCTGCAGCCCCGCTCACCACGCTCTCAGGTACAGCCCTGTCTGGGCTGTGCCTTGCCTGTGGATGGGTTTTGCTCCTCACTGGTGGGAGCTGTTAGCTTGGCTTAGTTGCCACTGAGAAACTGAGAAAGCATGGTGAAAAAACGTCTGCCCTGCAAGGCGTGTGGCCGAACCAACTTTTGTCTTTACCCATCGCTCCTTGCCCTGTCCTCTCTCAGGCTGTTGGTGGTCCCCAAATCCTCCATCCACCAATGCTGAGGAACTGTCCCTGAGTGAAAGGGGGTCAGCAATGACGGTGACAGCTCATCCTTGGCATGTCCAGCCTGCCATCCCAGCGCTTCCACAGGCCCCAGCGGGGAACCTCGGGGCAGAACTGCTGCTTTTGGGAAATGCCACCTTTTGGGAAATGCCACTTTTCACCACCTTAGGAGTTTTGCAGAACCACAGCTCGTGCTTGGTGGAGTCGACAGGTCACTGAGGGATTTGCGGGAACGTTTCTGGGAGCAGCACCACGGCAGCGCTGCGGGCCAGTGACCTGACCCCGGGCGGGAAGGAAACTCGTGAAGGTGGCGGCCGAGGCACCCGTGAGGGCAGCGGGGGCCCGGCCCCGAGGTCAGGGCACGGAGCAGGAGTTGGCTCCTGCTGCCCGGCCCCTCCGATACTCCCAGTGCAGGCACCGGGCGGGCGAGCCGGGTCTGGCCGCCCTTCCCCTCACGGAGCCGTCCCCCGCCGGGACCCGCCGCCCTTCAGGCAGGACGGGTCCCGCCCGCAGCCGCCCCGCGGCGGGGGCTCAGCCCCGCTCCCCCGGGGACGGGCGGACGGCGAGTCCCGCGAGGGGGAAGGGAAGGAAAAGAAGGGGCCACCGCGGGCTGCGCGGAGCCGGAGCGCTCCCGTCGCGGCGGGGTCCCAGAGCGAGGGGGGGGGCAGCGGCCCGGGGGGCTCTGGGCCGGGGCGGGGGTGGGACCCGCCGGGGGCGGCGCGGGGGGCGCTCCCGGCTCCCTCCCCGGCAGGGCCGGCGGCGGGGCCGCCCCCATTGGCCGCGGCGCGGCGGCAGCTCCGCCCGCCGGAGCGGCGCGGCGCGGGGAGGGAGAGAGGGAGGAGGAGGAGGAGGAGGGAGGGCACCGGGCTGCGCTGCGCTGCTAGTCCGGAGCGGAGCCTGGCAGCGGCAGGAGCGGCGGCGCGGGGTGCGCAGCAGCCGGAGCCTGCTGGACGGAGGCAGCCCCGTCCCCCCCCCCCCGCTCCTCCCTCCCCTCGCCTCTTTCTTTGTGCGCAGGGCAGGGGCGGCCCCGATCCATGGTCATGGGCGACAAGAAGAGCCCGACCAGGTGAGCGGGGGCGCGGGGGCGGGCGGGGAGAGGCGGTAAGATGGAGGGAGCGCGGCGGGGCCGCCCCGGCCGCTGCCCCGGCCCCGGCCGAGGGGATGGCGGCGGGTAGGCCCTGGCTGGCGGCCGCCGGCGTGTGCTCGGCCGCGGCGGGGGGGAGGCGGCGAGGGGCGCCTAAGATGGAGGGAGCGAACGGGGAGGGGGCGGCGAGCCCGCGCCGCCCCGCCAGGTACGGGGGGGGGGGTGCGGGCGGGGAGGGAGCGAGGGAGGCTCCTAAGATGGAGGGAGCGTGGAAGGGCAGCGGGAGGAGGAGGAGTGCCGGTGTCTCCCAGCCTGCCGCCGGTGCCAGGGCTGGTGCGGTGCGAGCGCAGCCATGGCGGCTCCCCTCGCACTCCCCGCTCCGCGCACTCGCCGCTCCCAGACAAAGGGAGGTTTAACAAGGTGGAGGAGGGAACGCGCCTCCCAGCCCGCAAACTCGCCCACCCACCCACCCTCCCGCCGCGGGCGGGGGGGACGCGGGCGGCCCGGCCCGGCGCGGTTCGGCCCGGCGGGGCCGGGGCGGAGCGCGGCGCCCCCCGCACCTCTCCGGGCCCGGCCCCGCTCCGTGTTTGTCGGCTGCTCCCGGCCCCGGGGGAGAGCGGCGGTGCGAGCAGGCGCTGGGTTTCGGGGCTCTGTAACATGGTTTCTCATGTGTGTGTTTTCTTTTTCTCCTCCTCCTCCTCCTCCTCTCCCTCCTCCCTCCCGCCGCCTTTCTCCTCCTCCCCAAACACACACGTACACACACACGCTTCCCCTCTCCCTCCCCCTCCTCAAGGCCGAAAAGGCAAGCCAAACCTGCAGCCGATGAAGGCTTTTGGGATTGTAGCGTGTGCACCTTCAGGAACAGCGCCGAAGCCTTCAAATGCAGCATCTGCGATGTCAGGAAAGGCACCTCCACAAGGTACGTCCGCGCCTTCCGACGCGGCTTTTGCTCCGCGCTGGGCTGCGCCGACTTGTTGATTTTTTTCGCTGTTGCCTGCGTATCGGCCGGTTGCATCCCCCCTTCCCCTCGGTGCAGCCCCTTCTATCCCTGTTCACGAGCTTGTGGATTTTAAAAATTCTCCTTCGAGCGTTTAATTGGAGCTGGAAGACATGTTTCGCGGATGTGGCAGCAACCTGGAATCTTTTTGTTGTTCTGTGTTTTTTTTGTTGCTGGAGATCCACAGCCACGCACTCTATGGTTTGGGGCAGATGGTTTTCTGTGGTTTGGGTGCGGGTTTACCCGTGTTTTTTACGGGAGTAGAATTGATTGAGGATTAGGGAGAGAGAAAGGAAACGGCTGAAACTAAAGATGCCATGAGAACAACAACTCCCTCCCTGAGATGTTGATCTCTCCGTGACTGTTGTCATCAGAAAGGAATCGGCTTTGTGCTCAGTGTGGGAATGGTGCGGATTTCTGAAAGCTTTAGCTGTCAGGTCTCTGTGATTGCCTTGCGCTGAGTAACTGTGGAGGTCTGTGAGATGGTGAAACTAACGTACAGTGCTTAATTTAATCTCAAAAAAAAAGCCCCAAAACTTGCTCTCTCCCAGTTAAGAGGTTCACAAAGTTTGTCCTGGAGGTATCAGGTGGCGCTAAAACAGGCGTGCGGTGCTCTGATTTTTCTGTCTTTTTGTGGTTTGTTTCTACCATGTTGATTCCTGATTTTGTTCATATTGTGCCTTCCAAATTTGAATTCCCATTGCTGTGCTCTGCCAAGGAAACAGTCCGTAAGGTTTCCATTGTGAAAGGCGTGGTGTTCTTTGAGTGCAGCTGTGTATTGAGGTGCTCTCATCAGCAGGCTGTTTGCATGACTTGGCTGTCTTGGCTTGATTGACAGAGGAGGTGAAAGCTTGTTGGGTTGTTATTGTTCGCACTGTTCTTTAGACAAAGTGAAGTGCCTACATTTTTAATGGGCAGCGTGTTTTCGGGCTATTGAAACTCTGAGTTACAGTAACAGTAGTTACTGTAGTGCTTCACGGTGTGTTTTATGGTGCACGACGGGCTACAAGTATCTCTGTGCTTTTTACAAATTGTACGGAGGTGTTGAACTTAAACCAGTTGTAAGTAGCGTAGTTGGAGCATGAATAAGGTCGAGCTTCTGGGACAGTAGCGTTCTGTGCTGCTTCTTGACTCGTCCAGCCTCACTTTGGGTGCCAACTAAACCTCCCCAGCACGCTTGATTCCTGTGGGTCTCTGTTTCCTTGGCTTCCCCGTTGGCTCAGGTAAAACGTGTTGATCCTGCAGTCTCCTGGTCTGTAGCTGTGCTACTACAGAGCAGAGCCGAGCAGTCCCCACACGCTCCCGCGGCCTCACGTCAAGCATGTGCCTGGGTGTTGGTGGGAGGAGAGCCTTAATGAGATGTAGGAGCCCATATGGGATGGATCTTGTATCAGACACTATTATTTTCATTGGCCACCATGCTGCTGTTCATTTGGAGAGCAGCAGCTTGCTCTCACGTGCCCTTGCTTTTTTTCTTTTTTTTTTTTTTTAATGATAATTTTCAAACTGTTTGTTGAGGTAGTAGGATGTTTTGTCTTTTAAAGAGCCATTAAGAGGGATAGCAGTCGATGATTTCAGGTTAAGAGCTGTAGCCTTACTTGCAGATGTGATCCTCGGGTCTAGAACATTGTAATTCTGTTTAGCTTTTAATGGACCCTTATGAATGGCTTCTAATTTTAATTCATTTAATTCATCAGCTTTCTATTCATTTTTTGGTGCTTTTTAAATTGCTTTTGTTTGTAGAATTTGAGAAAGTATTTAAAATATTCAATGGCCTATCATGTCGTCTTGCATATTTGTATAATTTATGAATAAATACAACAGAAAGCAGAAGTGATTGAGTGTTGTGAGGGAGCATTGTGTGTTGGGAAATCCTGGGAGGTCAGAGCTATTTGTGGTGTTACTTTGAATGTTATAGTATGTGACGTGCAAGTCACTGCTGGGGAAATTCTTCAGAATTTTTTAAATAAATGACTGATGTAAAGATACTTAATGAGTTATGATTGATAATCTATTACTTGAAATATAAGGTGTCTGATGAGCTTGACTTTTAAGTTGCAATTTGACAAGTTGATGACACTTCCACAGTTAAAACTGCCTTGCTTCATTGTGACTTTCTTCAGTAACACTTATGGAAATTTATCAAACTCACTTTAAAGAAAAGCCTCAACCAAGTAGTGAAAGGCATGGTGAGGCAACTGGTTTTCATCAAATTATTGTGTGCAATTACAGTATGCCCAGGGTTTTTTTATGATCTGGTATGACCTACTTCCCCCCTCCCTCCACTCTGAAGCCAGTTATTTGTTGTGGAATTTACTTTGGCTGATAAATTTTCTCTGATTTAAGAACTAGTGAGGCCCTTAGCTAATTCTCACCGTGTGTATATTTTTTCAGACTTGATATGATCTGTTGGCGTGTGGGAGGGGTGGCTGGCAGCAGTTAGAAGTTTTATTTTCTCAGATCCAACTATCCCCTTTCCCTAGGACCTCATAAAAGGAGCTTCAAACACAGTTTCAGAGTTGACCTGCCAAGTCAAAATCATTGTAGAGGCTAAACAGTTAAATTGTGCCAGAGTAGTTTTTCAAGGAGCTGTTTATAAATATTTCAGGTGCACTTTTAAATAAAAATTAGGTCAAATCCGTCTCTGAAGAATTGGGAGTTGTCATGCACAGATTACATTAAACCTGTGGCACTTACTTGAATACTGGATTTGTTACAGTATGTCACTGACTCCCTTTCCTCAACCTGATTCTTGCTATTTTATGGTTAAACTTTTATTACTTGCTATTTAAGCAAGTATGTTGAGTTTTTCTACTGTTTTCCTTTTGTGAGGATCATGCCAAAGATACAGGCTGTGTTCAACTCAGCTGAACCCAACGCTCAGCTGGACGAGGAGATGATTTTAGCGGCTGGCTTGGGAGTGAGCAGTGGGAAGGTGTTTGCTGGGCTATACAATGCTTTTTTTCCTTTCCTGGAGATTTTTGGACTGGTGTTACGGCACAGGGAACTGGTGCTGGTCACCCCTTGTATCCTGCAGCTCTTCTGGTGGTTTTCTTTGGTGTAGCAACACCAGCTCCTGCACACAGGAGAAGGCTTGAATTAAAACTTGTGCTGGGAAGTTTGCTCCACATGTTCCTTTCCAATATCCATTCCTGCTTCTAACACGGAAGGAAAGTTTACTTTGGACTTCCTAAGACTGTGAGGGCAGGATTTGGCCTCGTATTTCCCATTATGGGGAGCTGTGAGTTCTTATTTGAGGGTAGGTGATGGGTCCCTGTTTTTGTTTGGTTTTCCTAATGGTATTCTTGCTCCTCTTCGCCTTTGGTTCTTTGATAGTTTACATATGTTGTGTTCCTGTACACCTCTTGTAACCTCTTCTCTCCTCCC